CCGGGGCGGGCGGAGCTCGGCTGCCGGCGGGAATTCCCAAAGCCGAGCGCCACGGGGAGTAAACGGCTGTGGACGAACTGGTCGGGAATGCCAAAATGAGCAGGGGGTTCCTGAAATTTGCTTGAAGGGCCCCGTAACGCTGTTTTTTTGGCATTATTTTGAGACGTCGGATAACTCCGGTGCTCCTGCACCGGCCGCTTTCCCATTTTGGAAAAATCTCGGGGAATTTGGGGCTCCTTGGGGTGAAGGCCAGGGTTCCCACACGAAAAACAGGGTTTTCACTGGGTTTTCAGGGTGACGGAAGGGCAGGGAGCGGCTCCGTGTGTTGGGTTTTCCCAAACTTATTTCTTCCTTCCCTTTTTTTCCCCTCGTGACCAGATCCGTCGCCTTCGGCCTCGTGGCTCCTTGGCGGCGGCGGCGGCCGGTGGAGAAGGGACGTTTTGGACGGCAGGAGGAGGAAGGAGGAAAGATGGGACCCGGGGAGCAGCTCCCAGCACAGAGCCAGCCCAGCCCAGCCCCGTCTCCGTGCTGCCTCGCGAGGAATTCCGCCACGGGAGGTAACTCCAGGCCTTTCGGAACTCCCTTTTGCCTCTGCGCCCACAGGATGAGTCCGAGTCCCCTCCGCACACACGTGGTCCCAAATCCATCTGTTTTTATAGCAGCTTTAGCGGGTGTTGCTCTCCGCATGTTTGGGATGCGCTTCCTTTTCCTACGGATTAATGTCTACAGGGAAGTAGCAGAATCCTTAAATTTCGGTGCGTAACTAGGCGAAAACAGCCCTGCCAAACTGGCTTAAAACCGGCTCCCGCCCGAGTTCCGGATCTACTTCCCTTGGCTCTGGAACGACAGCGGCAGACCCAGGAGTTCCAGGATTCCCTGTAACTTGCGGAGCCGACGCTTGTTACCAAAACCTCCTGCCAGTTCCAGGATTTGGGAAGGGCTTCCCAAGACGCTGCTGGGACGGCTGGAGGCAGCGCGGAGCAAAGGGACATTCCTGCGGCCCCGCTGTCCTCCCCGTCCTCCGGGTGCCAGCGTGGGGGCTGCTCCAGGCCTGTTCCCGCTTGGAGGCCCCATTCCGGAGCCGCATTCCCGCTCCGGCACCCACAGCACCAGCGTCTCGTGCCTGGAGCACTGCGCCGGGCTCCGTTCCCACTGTTCCTGCAGGGAACGTGGTGGATCCGCCCCGGAGGAGGAGAGGGAAAGTTTGTGGCAAAAAGGACACGACTAAATTCCCGCCTCTGCCCGAGTCCTGTGCGATTCCCGTATGGATCCGAGGCTTTTATGGTTGGGGAAAAAAAAAGGGTTGTG